AAGACAAACACTTGTTGCTACCATCATTCGTTCTTGTTCTTTTAACTGCCATCCACATTTCTATTCGAGCACTTGCAAGGCCACGCGGAGTTCAGCCTGGATAGGCTTCACACACGTGCAGAAAACGACCTGCGGCAGTTTGTCTCGGCTGATGCCCCATTGGAAAATTCCATGACTTCCGTTTAGAGCGTTGGAAAATGGCCTTTCAGAGATAAGCCCTTATGTTATGTGTGAGATGCGTTCAGACTCTTCGTGTGCCCGATGAGTTCTAATCAAAGAAGAGGGAACTTGTAGTTGGTACAAATTTAAAGCTCTTGTTGGCTATAATCTGTTCTGTTTCCGTGGGATTTTATTTTAGCGTCCAATCTAAATTATGTCACTAGAATCAGTGAAGCACTACATTGATGAAATGCCATAAATTTGATTACAAGCATATATATGCAAAAAATTGTTAACAAAGTAGATACAAGCCCAGGTTTAACAAAGTATATGAAGTGACATAACCATATGAAAATCAACCTCAACGAAGATGAAAAAATGAAGATTTACATTGCACACCAATGACCATGGATGTTAATGTAGAAATGTAAAGCATCGTAGGTGAAACGAGCGAGGAAATCCCGCCTTATAAACTCGAATGTGAGTTCCATTTTCTTTTCTGGGCAGATATTGCTCTCCAAAAATGAAACAGGAGGTGCACTCTGTTCTCCAAGTTTAGCTCGTAACGTTGTTCTCTTTTCAGTTTCTGTAAATCTCAATTTTTTTCTGAGCTATCAAAGTACGTAGGCTAGTCCGATATTTATATATGTAAAGAATCAAAGTAGAATTGATCCGAACAAGGGAAGATTGACAAATGAATACTTGTATATATAACCATCAACCTTATACTTTGATCGTGGTTGGATTACAACATGTATAGTATAGAGAGGGATTTAAGGCATTCTTCCCTTTGAGTGAAGTATATAATAATCTGACTTGACTATGCTACGTAGGTATTGGTATTAAATAGGTATATACTACAAAAAGAATGGGTTATAAATGAATTTAATATAAACCAACTGGACTGTATGTTGACTGTTGTGATGAACTTTTGAGCATTAATTTTGACGAGTTAGTTGTATGATCTATGTTCCATGTTGTACACCAGCAACAGCCCCGGAGGTGGTGGAGAGTCTGGCGAGGATGAAGATACCAGCAGAGGAAAGAAGCACAGCTCCAGCAAAGCAAGCGAGATCCAGTGGAGTAACCAGAGGTATGCTCTTGAACTTGTCCAACAATCCCACTTGAAGTATCATCACCACTGCATGCCCTATTTTCGACTTTGCTTGCGAAACCGATTTCATGTCAACCCATGCTGGAGGTGCCTGGAAATTATAATTCAGACATGAATTAGAAATTAAAGTATTCTAAAACTCCATAATCTAAAATACGAATATTATTTAGAAGATATTTATGTAATTTGTAAAAAGGGAGTGAAAGGTACCTTCATATAGAAGAGACCAAACAAGTTTGACTCTGAAAACCGCGGTCCTTTTTCTTTCACGGCCTTTGATCCCACGAACATGGCGTACAACCCAACCCCGAAAATAAGCATGGCGGTTCCTACCAGGAACATGTCTGTAGAAAGAATGAAAAAACATGAATTATTAGTTTTTGGGTAGGTTAGGGTAGGGTATATACAGAGAGCTGAGAGAGAGCTGAGAGAGCGAGAGTAGTTACCAATGGCTTCAATAAGTAGATGCACCATATGTCCTTGATCTGTCTTGTGTGACAAGGCATGGAAATACTGGAAATATGACTCTAGAACAATAAAGCAACCCTGCATTTAGTCTAGAAATTAGATAGAAAATAGATACAAATAATTGGTTTTGTTCTAATAATTATTAATTTACACTACCAAAGATGGTGAATTAGGTAGGAGGAAAAAGAAAATGTTACCTCTACAAAGCACAAAACTGAGCCAAGTAAGGATCCCGCAACTGCAAGTAATGTAAAGAATCGACAGTCTATTATACCCTGCACAAATGAAGTAATATTTTTATTAGAACTTAACTCATTCAACTTAAACTTAATCAGACATGCTTAATTCTGTTTCAAACACCGACTTACTACATAATATTAATAAACAACTTTTGACAAATTAAGAAGAACATGCATGTAAGTTAGAGAATCTAAAAGCTAAAACTAGCATTCAAATTTTCAAAAAAAGAAAGCATTAATTGGGCTGAAATTAAAATGCCTACTCACCCTTTCAATGAACATCTGGACCTGCTGTCTCGAAGGTTTTGGCTTGAGGGCCGTTCTCAAAAGAATGAGCAAAGCACGGTTAGTCTTTGTAAGCAGGGAAACCAATTCTGCGGGCCTTCCCCGATTCACTTGTGGCTTCAAAGTGATGCTCGTTGTGTCTGAATGAAATTAACATGCCTACTCACCCTTTCAATGAACATCTGGACCTGCTGTCTCGAAGGTTTTGGCTTGAGGACCGTTCTCAAAAGAATGAGCAAAGCACGGTTAGTCTTTGTAAGCAGGGAAACCAATTCTGCGAGCCTTCCCCGATTCACTTGTGGCTTCAAAGTGATGCTCGTTGTGTCTGAAGTGGCCATTGAGGCCTTGACAACCACCATTTGCTTTCTCTCATGATTATCATTCTTCCCACCAAGTCTCTTCTCTCCGCTTAAGCTTCCGGCCTTGCTCGAACACCGCAGCGTCTTCGGCGGCAAAGAAGAAGAAGAAGAAGAATGAAAAGTCATAGGCTTAAACGTGCGTAATAGTCTAGTGGCTGCCATTGGTCCCTTTGACGATACCAATTAACTTACTGGTTGGGTTTGGTGGGTTTATATATAAGTTTGCAGTGTGGTGCGGTGTGGTGTGGTGTGGTGTGGTCTGGGAAAAATAGAAAATTCGCAGCATCTTAGCTGTGGTTTGTCCTGGTATGGCTGAGCTTCTCGCTTTTTCCCTTTTGCTTCGAGAGGTTGGCTTTGAAGTTTGAACTATTCCCAACAATTGGACGAACCAAAACCAAAACCAAATCAAAGCCTGATGACTCTTGCCCTCACGTGGTCTGCGTGTGGGCTCCACCCCCCCTCCCAATTGAGAGTACCGAACACGTGTCAATCATGTGTTTCGTGGTATATTTCTCTTGCTTGGGAATTACGAAGGAGGATTTCCTCCCTCGACGGCTTGGAATTTGGAACTTTGGAAACAAAGTCAGAGATTTCTGATGTTTTCATTTGCTCGTGGTTTTGATCTTACGAAGCTTAGATTGGGGCTTTGATATTTGGGCTTTTGGGTTTCTTTCGACAAGGAAGGAAGAATGGTCGGCGCATCGTGCGTGCAAAACGACGAACTAGGATGTCGTATATAGTCGCTGTTGTTGTACCTACGCAAAGGCAAAGCAACGGAGAGAAAGATCTTGCATACGTATGCACAACAAAGCAGCATATATGCCTAGAGCTAGAGAGAGACACCAAACCAACGACCAAGAGATGGGTTGCGTAGCAAGACTCTGCACCTCATGAAACCGGCCACGAAATTGCCTTCCTTCTTCTTCTATCTCGTGCCTCCTATGTCATGCCTCATTTTATTGGCTTACAGATCATAACTAGAACAAAAATTCCCAATAACTATAGCTTAAATCCTGCTTAAGACCAAAATCAATCATTTAGTAATGAACTGATTGTTTTTTCCTCAAATTAATTGTTCACAACTAATGAAAATTCAATTCCTCTTACATGATCTCCAAACATTACCTCACAAACTCATCTACAAAGACTACATATAGCAGAAACTAGAGATGTATACAAATCAACTTCAATGCAGCTCTCTTTACTCCACAATGCATTCGTAACAGTCTAAACACAAAAAGGAAAGAGAGAAGAACGGAGGGGGGGAGGGGGGCATCATAAACAAGCAATCAACCATGCATAACCCCCCAAGGACCCCATGAATGAGACAAGAACCCATCCACATCCTAGCCATGGTCCCTGCTCTAACACACCACCATTGGTCAATATATTCAAAGCCCACAAGAAGCCTGAAACAAGTTAACAATCTGGTTATGCACCCCTTGTGAAGCATTGAACTTGAACAAGAACTATAACCCATGGTTTTGAGCTAGGCACTTTTTTATGCACCCATAAGAGAAGAAAAGTACTTCTTGCAATAACTCTAATTTTGAAAAAGATGATTAACAGGATTTACATCATCCTTGGTCAAACTAAATGATAACCAATACCCACTATTCTCTTGCTATAAGGGCAGGAAACCAAACAAACAAAGAAACTCAGTCACCAAAGTTCAGGTCCAAGCTGATTCAAATCCAATCACACAGAATCTCAAACATTACTGCCCAACATTCTCAAATAGGCACTTGAGACTTGAAACAAAAAAAAGTATACACGAAAAAAATTGATAACTTCAATTATAACGACACACAAACTGTCCTACTTCTACATAAATGTGGCTCAAAAAGTGCTTGAATTGAAAGCTCATCGTAGAGAATGCCTCCGTACATGGTCTTGATTCATCATCATTGCTACATTCTATTTCACAACATACTTCAAAAACAAATCAATCTGTACAAAAATTGGAAAATATTAAAAGAGAAAACTCAATCCAATTTCTCCCCACAAGGGAACAAGACATGCAAGCAATACAGCTAGCAGAATTATAGGACTTAAACTACAATAACCTGTGCACAGACATCGAACAGGGGCTAGATTATGGAATGATGGCTTGACCAACTAAGTGTGCTTGGCCAAGGTTTGCATAATGTGCTTTCTGTAGAAAGAATATGAGTAAAGACAGATGACTAGAAGAATACGTTCAGGATATCTAGAAATTTCAAAGTTATTTCTAACATAACAGCACAAACAAATTAGAAAATGGCTTTGCCAACAGTGCAACATTGAAAGTACAAGTAGAACATGAAGATGAGCACATACACCAAACATGCATTTGATTAAACTATAGATACCATCTACTACAATTTGTGGCCTTTATTAATTAGTTGTCTTCACATTCAGCAAGATTTTGCAGGTTACTACAAAGAAACTATTAATATTGAGGAAAAGGAATCAGTCGTAAGTACAAAAAATAAGGCTACAATTGAACTAACAATTTTGTAAACACAATCTTCAATTCAAGTACAAAACTTTGCTTCGCGATTTGGTAAACATTACCACGGTTCCTCAATAGCCTTTGTTCCCCCGAATCCTAGCTCTCATGTCAACCTGGCCTCTCTTGCAGTTGAAATATGTTTCCCTCAGACCAATGCATTCACTTGATATTGATGGACTCTTCTCCCCAGCGCATTCTCTGTACGATCGCTTCTCAACCTTAACGCAATCGCACTCACTAAGACACTTGACCAACTCCATTGCTAAGCCCTTGCAAGACTTTGCCATTTGGCCCTTGCCTCCCCTGAAAATGACAGAAAGCTACTTAACAAACAAGGCATTGAAATTGATCTACACACAAAAATTGCACCAAGCCCATCTAAACCCGCAACGAAGCAAATCGAACCCATAAAGAATCTCTCCAACTGACCTCTTTGGATGACGGCTCAGAAGCTTCAAGTTTAAACTTTTTTCCTCTGAACCTGGTTAGATTAAAGAAGTTTTATATTATTTTGATATTAGTTGCTTTATGCAGATTAAAAGCTCTAGGGAACAACCCAGAAGTTGTATGCTTGAGATTTTCTGCCCTAAGTGAAAACGAATGAGGGAAAGGTCGGTTTACCTCCAATAACGTACAGCTCGTCTAGATCAACGTAAAGTTCTACTTTCTCCTTTTCAGCTTATGCACGGTCTCGAATCGTCGGATAAGAGAGAACGAGAAAGAGGTGCAGAGCAGACTGCAGAGGAAACCACAACACCAGAAGAAAGTTGGGGAAGAAGAGAGAAAAATGGGAGTCTCTGTTCTTGCTGGCGGTTGGTTAGGCCCAAAGGAATCTCACTAACCACAGCCCAAGTGAGCTATGGGCCTGGGGAACCTCAACAATCCTATAGCCCAACACAAAGTTAAAGCTTTATTAAACCTATTTATTTATATTTTTCATCATTAAAAGATAGAAAACGGAAAATTAAAACATAGCAATAAAAAAAAGTCATATTTTTAATGTCGTTTCTGAAGCAATGATCTGTTTGTTTTGTTGTGTCTCTAATTCACTCTTGTAATTTACTCTAATATACTATTGTAATTTAAATCATCTAAGAACCTTTTTATTCTCCATAAAAGATGGATGTCATATCTTTGTATGTTGATGAACTCATTCACGGAAGAGGAACATCAAATCAGCGTGCAAATCAACCACATTAGTCAAGCGAATATCCTAATTAGAGTGGATAGAAGATTATCAAAATTAAGATTAAACAGATCTTGGACAAACAAGAAACCAGAACTAGAATATACAGCATCATCCCATACAAACATCAGTATTTCTCGGCAACAGGTCTGGAAGGAAAAAGCCTCAAAAGAAATGCCATCAGGGACCAAAGGCACACCACGCCGACGACTTGGAAGGTCACTATCATAGAAAATAGGGCACCGCTTCTTTCTAGCAGTTCCGGGGATGCAGGCATACCCTTCATCGCATACATCAACTTCTCAATAAAGTAAGCAGCTTTTGTCAACTGGTATAGTCTATAAACCTGCACACAGACTCAAAATATTTCAAACCCTTGAATTCAGCTTTGAAACAAAGAACATTCATGTATCTAAAGAACAATGTCTACCTCAAAAATAATGGGAACTAGAGGCCAACAAGATGACCCTTGCTTTTCAAGACCCGTCTCAAATGCAAGTTGAGCAACACAGCCAACTAGAAAGGGAACCACAGAAACCAAGGCCGGCAAGCCAAGCAATGGCCAGGTTACATAAACAGCAAATAGAGGGGCAATGACCTTGAAGCCCGTTGTAAAGAAAGCGGATGTCAAGTATCCTCTTAGGCCAGTAATGAGACCCCACCTCTTTGTACTGAACTGCAGATACGGCCTCTGTACTCGGTCAGTTACAAGCAGAAATATTGCAAGGCCCACGTAAAACGCAGCCTCATAAGATAATGAAGTCACGATTTCTGCATTGCAAGCAAAGTGATTAGCGGTGTGTTTTATCTTGTGATTTAAATGTAGACATATGAAAGCAGGCACATACACTCCTTTACAGATAAAACTATCAATAAATCAAGAGATTTAAGTACTAGACATACAAGAAAAGGCACATTACTTCTGTGCACAAACAAGTAGATACTTCACCAAACAGTAGTTTTCCACAAACTTCAATTTGAACTGCATAAAGTTCTCATTCGCAATAAACATCAATAGATACATAATTAGCAGAGACAGGCTCTTTGCTAGAATTTGGAAGGAAGAATATACTTATCCGATTATTTTAAATCAATTCATTCACAAAATAGGACGTTGACTATAAGTCATAGAAAACAAACCATACAAGACCATCTTCAGTGAGCAATGATAAACATTATTGATTTAGCTTCTGAAACAAAAAACAGGTTGTGATATGGTGCAGGCACGGTAAACCAACTTATACTATTGTCTAACCTAGTCATGCATTTCACTTATCAAGCACTAATTAACCACACAAAGGAGTGAAAATGCAAAGCTAATTAAATTAAACCAAAAAAAAAAAAAGGTTCAATAAATACCTATGATAATCTCGTCCTTCAAGAAAGCCTCGATTGCATTACCAATAAAGAATTGTGGAAGAAGCAACGATGAAATTAAAGCAGCAGGGGCAAAAAACCAAAGGAACGAGCCCTTCTCTTCATCGAAAGGGGCTGAAACCAACTTCCCTTCCTCTACCAACTGGTGTGTCAACCCATGGAATGAAATTGAACCCGATTTACCACGAAAAGGCTCCACCCCATCAACTCTTCTAAAAGGAACATTAGAGTTTTCCCCTCCTGAGAATTCCAGCTTTGCATCAGTAGAATTCGAAGCACACTTAATAGCTCCTCTGTTCAAGCTCTGTATTGAAGACTCCTTCACAAAACTTTTCAATCCTGGCATCAAATAGGCTGAAACATTTCTTCCAGTTAAAACATAGAAGCAAAACTATATCCTCCAAACATAAATTAAAACCCTGTTTTGGTAGCGAAGAAAAAGGAAAAATAAAATTTTCTGAGCCGAATAAATGGAGATTAAGGTGAAGGTTAAACGTACATTTGGAAGCAATTCCATTATGTTTACGGAGTCTTTGATCCCTCAGCCAAGCATGGCTTGCTAAAACCTTAGGAATTTAGCAAAACAGAAACTGGTGATTACTTGACAAGAAAAGCTAATGCGAGTAAGATTGAAACATAGATTTTCATTTCGAAATGAATATGATGCAGAAATTTGCTTACAAGTTGATGAGGGACTATGCGGTGACTGGATAAACCGAAATTCGAGTTGGGAAACCCACGACAAACTGATTGCAGCTCCATTTTTGGGAATTTAGGGTTTAAGCAGAGACTCCCTTGGCTTTTCTTCTTGTTTTAATCAGCTTAAACCCTACTTGTCTCCCAGTCGAACAGGCACGTACGCTGCAGCTTAGCCCAACAATCACCTAGCGGATCAGAAATTTTTGCAAGGTAGCCCAATATTGTTGGGCTGTATGGAACAATTTTACAAGGTAGACCAATAAAAACCTAAAGGCCCATAACTTTACACAAACTTTGAATTCCATAAAACCCAAAAGCCGAAACAATCCCCAAACCAATGAAAATAAGGAAATTTGCACAAATATCACCTGAACTTTTAGGCATGTGCGTTAATATCACCTAAACTTTTAATTTTTATTTTTAACCACTTGAATTTTGTAAAGTGTTGCAATCTACCATTTATGTCTAACTCTGTTAAAGTTTCTATTAAGTTTAATGGCATTTCCATCAACTCACTATAACTAAATATAATTATAAAAAATATAATTTAAAAAAATAAAAAAGAAAGTTAACCTAATTGCACCACACCTTCTGTACCCTTTTCCAATGCCAATTCTCCCCCTTACCCTCATGGGGAGCTAAAGATTCAAAACTCATTTTTATCTTTTTATACAAAATTTAAGAAAAAAATCATAAACTCATCCATTATTTAGACCACCTGTGATATATACCATTTCTATTATATTTAAGACCTGTTTGGGAGTGCTTCTGGAAAGGCCAAAAGCGCTTTCCGATAACTAAAAGCGCTTCTGACTGCGTTTGGTAGAAAATTTTAGAAACGCTTCTGGGTCATAGAAGCGCTTCCTGGAGAAGCACCTGCTATGTGCTTGTTCATGAAGCACTCCCAAGTGCTTTTCCATGAATCACTTTAATTTTTTATGAAAATTCAAGATTTTTATAATAAAAGCGCTTATGAGCAGAAGTACTTCCTAGAGAAGCAGTCCCAAACGAGCCTTTAATTTAGGCTCTAATTTTGATTTAGATGCATAGGCATAGCATGCTCATTCATGGCTAGGTCGGCGAGTGTAATTAGGTTAACTTTTTATTTTTTGGAAGGTGCTTTGTAATCATGTTAACATTTTTTAAGTTTTTTATTATGTTTTTTATAATTAATTTAAGTTGTACTAAATTAATAAAAATGCCCTTAAATTTAACGGAAACTTTAACATAGTTAGACATAAGTGGTGAATTGCAACACTTTACAAAGTTCAGGTAGTTAAAAATACAAATTAAAATCTCATATAGTATTATAGCATATGCCTAAAAGTTCAGGTGGCATTTATGTAAATTTTCCATAAAAATATATGGAATTGGGTGTTGTTACGGTTTTTTTTTACAAAATAATATTCTAAATTATTTTAATGTACACGGACAGAGATTTAATTCACTTAGATACAAGAAGACGTATACAATACATTAGACAACTGACCTACGTGCTCACATATAAGAAAGGTGTTGTTACAATTTATCCTTGACTCAAAATTCTTTATATAATAAATAAATTGAAAACTCATCAAAGAGTTTTTAGGCACGTTTTGCCAAAACATTTAATAGTATACGGCGGAGAAAGCTCCACCTGGTATGTCTGTCGTATCATGCAAAGCTCAAAAGATACACAGTAGTGGCACTTCCCCCACCGGCCATACTGGTCCGGGTAAATAAAAGGGTCGTTGTACAGTTGCTACTTATCTAGGTCCAATCGGAGGAAGGAAGTCACGTGAGATGCGCATGCATTTCGGCCGGCGGTGAGAACCGTACCTCAGGGTCAGGTGGTCGGAAGGGAAAAAGGTTCAAGGCTTTGACGCTTAGCCGTCTTTGACTTTTGAACAGAAAATTACATACCCATGACTTTATCATGGTAATGAGCTTCATTCAAACTCCGTCCACTGTCTGGCCTTGACGACGACTAAAAAGTGTTAGACCCACGCGCTCCTCTCAAAAAAAAGTCCCAAGGTGCAGCACAAAATTTCAAACACGCGCCACTTTGAAACGAGTGGAGAGCGTCGTAAAAAAGACAAACTCAAGTATAACATTAGACTATTCTTGTAAACGGGGATCCGTATTCCATGCAAGTTGTTTCCCTTTGCCATACCCCATGCAAGTTTTCCCTTTTACAAACTGCAAGACAATTAGTAACAAAATAACTGCGCAAATGAATACACGATACGAAAGAGTAATTATTAAAAATGTTTAGAACAAACAAAATATAACTATTCATAAACTTTACATGCGTTAACGATTTAGAGTTTTTACGTACATGACGTGAAATAACTTATGCATTCCTCGAAAATAAGATATATGTAAAGATGTAATAGATGAAGAATATTGTGGTCACTTACCGCCTGTAAGTTTTAGTCCAAAACGCTGCTATTTATATTAAATGATGGATCATGAGACATTCTGTATTCTAATAAGTTCGAACGTGGGACTCGCCATGCCGCACCAAACCAAGTATAACATAGACAATTTAATGCACACAATTCACGATCCCTATACTATTGAAGCTACACAAGTTTTGGGCTTCATGTACCCCACCGTCTTCCCACTCACCTTCCCACTATAAATAAGGCTGCTACCCACCAATCTCCATAACATTTTCACCAACAATTTCCCACTCTACATCTCTTTCTATCTCCAACAATAACAACTTTTATCAAACCCGAAAGTCATTGATACCCAATGGCTTCGTCTTCTTCTTTGGGTTTCCCTTCTCTGCAACTACAGTTCCAATCCCCAAGAAAGTCCTCCTCCTCCACGCGTCGCTTTTTAGTCCGTCCGATCTCTGCCTCCGTGTCCGAGATAACACCTTCCTCTGTTTCAGCACAGCCCCCGGAGCCAACCAACCTCCCCGTCAAGAAAATCCCCGGAGACTATGGCCTTCCCTTCGTGGGCCCCATCAAGGATCGCCTCGACTATTTCTACAACCAGGGCAGAAACGAGTTCTTCAAGTCCCGCGTCCAGAAGCACCAGTCAACGGTGTTCAGAGTCAACATGCCGCCGGGTCCCTTCATTTCTAAAAACCCCCAAGTCGTCGTTCTGCTCGACGGCAAGAGCTTCCCGGTGCTCTTCGACGTTTCGAAAGTCGAAAAGAAAGACCTCTTCACCGGCACTTACATGCCTTCCCTAGAGCTCACGGGAGGTTACAGAATCCTCTCCTACCTCGACCCGTCGGAGCCCAAACACGACAAGCTCAAGCGCGTCATCTTCTACCTCCTCAAGTCGAGTCGCGACTCCGTCCTACCTGAGTTCCACTCCAGCTACACGGAGCTTTTCGAAACTCTGGAAAGCAAGCTCGCCGACAAGGGCAAAGCCAACTTCGTCGAAGCCAACGATCAAGCGGCGTTTAACTTCTTGGCCCGATCGCTGTACCGGGCCAACCCGGCTGATACCCCACTTGGGCTCGACGGACCCAAGCTGGTGTCGAAATGGGTCCTTTTCAATTTGGGCCCTCTGTTGATGCTCGGCCTTCCCAAGTTCATCGAAGACCCCCTGCTCCACACTTTCCGACTTCCACCATTTCTGATCAAGAAAGACTACCAGAGGCTCTACGATTTCTTCTACCAGTCGTCCGGTCACGTGCTTGATGAGGCGGAGCGGTTGGGAGTCTCGAGAGACGAAGCGTGCCACAATCTGTTATTCGCCACGTGCTTCAATTCATTCGGAGGGATGAAGATCCTCTTCCCCAACATGCTGAAGTGGATCGGCCGCGCCGGCGTTAAGCTCCACACCCAATTGGCCGAGGAGATCCGATCCGTCGTCAGATCCAACGGTGGAAAAATCACGATGGGCGGTATGGAGCAAATGCCTTTGATGAAATCCGTCGTGTACGAAGCGTTTAGGATCGAGCCCCCCGTGCCGTTGCAGTACGGGAAGGCCAAGACGGACCTCGTGATCGAGAGTCACGAAGCGGCATTTAAGGTTAAGGAAGGGGAGATGTTGTTCGGGTTTCAACCGTTTGCAACAAAAGATTCAAAGATTTTCGAGAGAGCGGAGGAGTTTGTAGCGGATCGGTTTGTCGGTGAGGATGGTGAGAAGCTGTTGAAGCACGTGTTGTGGTCGAACGGCCCGGAGACCGAGAGTCCGACGGTCGGGAACAAACAGTGCGCCGGAAAAGACTTCGTGGTGTTGGCGTCGAGGCTTTTGGTGGTGGAGTTTTTTCTCCGGTATGACTCGTTTGAGATTGAAGTAGGGTCTTCGCCGTTGGGGGCTGCCATTACTGTGACGTCACTGAAAAGAGCAAGCTTCTGAGTTTTTCTCTTTTTTCTAATGTTTTATTTTTGGGAACTTGTAAATTTTTATTATTATTTACTTTTTAATATATTGGGGGGTTTTGTTTGTTTAGTAGTGGATTAGTGGGATATTCGACTGGTCCACATCACATGTGAGCAATTGGAACATTATATTTTTAGCCAAGGATAAATATAAATATTCAAGTTACATGTGGGAATTAATAATTGTGATTGTTTCACTTAAATCTTCTGAATCACATGCTATCCAACAATCAACAATGGCAATGTGCGTGTTCCCCAAGATATATGTTTCTTCGTTTCTTTTTAAATGAATTGAATTGATTGGCTAAGTTAGCTGTTGTTTCATTATTTTGTATTCGAGGTCATTCGAGTTTCTGTATTCGAATATTTCCTTTCAGTATGGCTTTGTGTAGGTGATCAAATTCTCCCCTCTTAATATCTTGTGTTAAAAACAGAAGATTGAGGTTGAAGGGTTTTTTGGGGAATGTTTTTAGCTAAAAAGCTGAATAGCCAAGGTTTTTAATCATAGAAATAAAAAGGATGTCGCTCCAAAAGCTGATTTGCTCTTAAATTACTACCACACATAATCCCACAACGTTTTCATATAAAATATGCACGTGGTAAAGTGAGATGCATTATTATGAAATTGACCTCCGTGAAACCAATCGCAGGTTTGGTTGACTTTTCGACAACAGTAGCCAAATTGCATTGTTATTATGTTTACCCAAGCTAATGTTGTTAATTACTTATTTCATTGAGCACATGTCCATGAAATTAGGCTCCTGAATGTAATTTCTTTCTCTTAACACGTTTTTCTATGGTCATGATAAAATCAGTATTTAAATACCAATAGGCAGTTCTTAAATATGCGTGTGTGCAAGAACGACGACATTCGTTTCGGGTTGAATTGTGCACAATGCACATGCCAGTAAAAGTAAGCCACCTTGCCCTAGATAGATTAAGGTACAGTGCGGACTAAGGTAAGCAGAAATTTTGGGCAACTGGTGTTTCAAATTCTTGACCAGAAACAAAAAAAATGAAGTATCAAACAAGCCTGGAGAAAGATCTTTATAATAATGCATCAAAAACTACTGTGTGATCTGATCAGAGTTTCCTCTGGTCAACACCATCACCAAGCCGCCTACAACTTTCTAGTCTGTGTAATTTTAACTACGAATTACAAAACAAAAAATAGGTACATATATGAAAAGTTGAAAAACAAAGATTTTTTCCTCTACAAGCTTATGCTTATTATCAGTACATAATGAACGACGATGAGGAAGGGAAAATTGAATTCCCCTGCTGTGATGCAAAACTACTTTTATGGTATTAACATAATGACATGAAGCTAGGCACCCAATAAGAAGAAAAAAAATCTAATCACCTTCAGTGTCACTGAATTGCATTACTTAGCAAGCTGTTTGATGAAGGTGAGCTCTGATCACTTAACCATGAATCCTGATGAACAGAAACTGGTGAATTATCCTTCTTCAACTTTTCTGTTGAGTTTAAGCTGCCAGCAGCTCCACTCTGCAGCAAAATGACACTTCGCTCTGATTGGGACTTGCTAATGTTCAGAGGTTTCTCGCTTACGCTAGACGAAGAACAGCAAGAGGATCCCTCTGATGAAGCAGTGTACGTGTTATCTTCTGATGAAGATGGCCATCTGCTTAGCTTGATTAGCTCTAATTCAGCTGTTACTTCCATCATTGAAGGTCTCATGTCTCTGTGAAATGCTAGACATCTGAATGCCAATTCACCTACTTTATGAACCGAAGAAAGGGTCCAAGCATCCATATGGGGCTCGAGAAAAGGGTCTATGATCTCATTTAAACACCCTCTTCCAATCCTGTCATTGGCTAGAGCAGCCAAGTTCACTTCATTATGGGGACGATTAAAGTCCACTGCTTTCAACCCTGTTATAATCTCAACAAGAACTACACCAAAGCTATAGACGTCGCTTTTATCGGAAAGATGGAAGTTCTGATGGTACTGAGGATCAAGATAACCTGGCGTCCCCTGTGGAGCTGTTGAAATGTGGGACGATTCAGCCATGCCAAGCCTTGAAAGACCAAAATCTGCAAGTTTGGCTTTGAAGTTGCAATCTAAAAGAATGTTGCTTGACTTGATATCTCTATGATATATTGGAGGTTTGACAGCAGAGTGCAGGTGAGCAATTGCTTGGGCGGTTTGAGTGGCGATGGTGAGGCGTATCGGCCAAGAAAGTCCGTCACCTCTCTCTCTTTGTAGATGTTGACATAATGTTCCATTGGCCATGAATTCATACACAAGAATCTGTTCACCACGTTCTATGGAACAACCCAACAAGCGGACTAAATTTTGGTGCCTTACAGATGAAATGAGTCTGATCTCATTCATGACTTGGTCAATGCTGTCATTACCTCTATGCTTAATTCTTTTTATGGCAACCCATTCATCATGGAGTTTTCCTGCATAAACAGTTCCGTAGGCTCCCGTCCCCAGCCTTTGTTTCTCTGAGAAGCCATTTGTGGCTTTCTCAATTTCTTTGTAGGGATAGAAGGGAATGTTGCAGTTGCCTGTAGCTTCAGATAGAAGGCGTTTTGTGCAGTGTCTTGCTTTCAGTTTGGATTGGCGTCGAATAAAACAGCATATTAGAGCCAGACTGATCATCAAGGAAGCTCCAACAAAAACGGCTGTGAAAGGAGATTCCAGATTAGGAAGAGAAGAGATATACATTGTAATACAAATTCATGTTTTTTGCTTTTGTTCTTGAACTTTTACAGATTTGTATAAAAACTTAAAAAGACTGTCATTTCTAAGCTGTAAGCCTGTAACCCCATCAAACAGTAGTGTATCCAAAACTGAGTTCCATTATGATTAGATGTAGTTGTCAACAGCAGAACCAGAAGTGGTGGTGGGGAGAGAAGCAAGTAAGATGTGTTGTTTCACATTATTTAGTTAAAAGAGGAGTTAATAATTACCTCCAATCAAAACGATGAACCTGGTCTTTCCTCCACATTGCCCAGACAAGTATTTTGCAGGGTTGCACACCAGTGAGCCTGTTTACAGAGCACAAGTCATATGAGTTTTTGAATAAATATCTCTATAATTAAGCCTTACATTTGTAATATTACATTCACATAATCACAATTTATATAACATTATGCGTTGAGGTTACAATTAATCTGGCTTTGGATTGATTAATCCACAAGACAAAACACACACACAAAGTCTTGGCCTAAGATGTTAAGGAAGATAGTTTTGTTTGGTTAGAAGTTCCCATGATCTTATTCAGGATGTAATTCCGTTGTACTATTTGAGATCCCTCTTTGAAAAAAAAAAAAAAAAAAAAAAAAACTTTTCTTATGGAGTATAAGTGCTGACCAATTGAGAGAAATTTCATTGATTGACTAATCAATAAGAGATCATATCTGGTTTAAATCAAACTACGTGCCGTCTAACTCGAGACAACCTACGTTTTCTTCAAGTTTGACAAAAATATATTTGACCTCAATCTTCCATGATTTGGTGACCACCATTTTAGAAAGTTGACAACCTCGACCTTTGTCAAACCAAAATGAAATTCATTGGTGTCTGTGACAAGGAAGGAGCAGCAGGTGTGTCTATATGGACTCTGGGATAGAGGCCTTCGTGGCCCAATGAGGATTTTATTTAATTTCATACTAATTAAGTTAATTGCATTTCTTAAACATATAGTTGAACAATTAAAATTGCATACGCAATGAATAAAATATGGTTAAAGTTCATCTAACTTGATTGCATTAGGTAAAACAACCCATCTTTGATGGAGGATTCTTATCCCTTTGTTTTCTTATAAAGAGACAAAAATTAAAAAAGAGAAAAAGGAAAAGCTCCTCCTTGATAAAAGAAAAACTTGACTGCTCGCTTTCTTCGGGCTCATTGATTGGATTAAGTTGACCTCCACAATGATGGACCGGCCCCACAACAACTTGAGTAGGCATGATGTTAAGGATCACAAGCGCAGTTTTTCTGGGCCCTACGTTCGGGCCCAGTTCGTTAAATGTTAATTTGGTGTGTTAATTACAATCTTAACAATAACAACTTAATATTATGCATTCTAATATGGCTGCTAACTGCTAAGCAAAGAAATTATTGTCCAATCCAAAATAATACAGACAAAAGGGAAAACAAATTATTGTTTATGCTTGTCTTTAATACCAGTAAATTTTAGATGTGATGTTATCAATTCACTTATACTATAACACATTCACATTGATTAATAATAGCGAAAAAAATGTGAGGCAAAGAATACTAGGTGGGACCCTAAGCATGCATTGGATGGTTTCTCTTTTTTATTTGTATCCTTCTGGTTTGTTCTTGGTTGGCCATATCCACCATGATTGAGTTAAAAGAAAGAACACATTCTCAAATAAGGAAGAAGAAGAAGAATTAAGAGTTAATTAGGCTGTAATTAAAGAAGAAGTAATTGATAATTACCTTTCCAGCAACCGGAGCCAGCCACATATCCATCTCCAAGAAGCCCATTATTACACTTGCACGTAAATCCTTGGGTCCCATTGGGCGACACAACAGTGGTACAATTGGCGTTCTTATGACACCCGCAAGTTCCTTCAAGCCACCACCCCAACTCCACCACCTCAACCTCCAAAAACAGCGGTGGCGCCGCAGAGCTATTCAACAGCTGCGGCGGCGACGCCGATATCGACGACAACAAGAACTTGCAATCCCTGTGCTTGACGCTCTCAAAATCCAAAAACCGGACATCCTTTCCGGTCTCCGCGTAGCAGCTGAGACTGCTGTTGGAGCTGCAATTGGGCGGCGCGTCGAACCGGGCCTTGACCAGAATGTTGGGTATCTCACAGCTGCTCGAGGGTTGCCCGTCGGTACAGTTCTGTAGGAGGATGGCGTTTCTGGACGTTGGGGCGTATCTGGGGCCGTAGAGCTGGCTGAGGGTGTGCAAGGGACGATTGCATCGGCTCTGGAGGGTGACTCTTATGCTGTCTGGGGTTATGATTTGGATGGGGAATTCGCCGATGAAGATTCCGGTGTGTGGGGTGCACTTGAGGCGGATTTCGCAGCCGGGTGAGAATCCGAATGGGTATTGGATCGGGTCGGTCCCGACGCCTGGGCACGACCGGTTGCAGGGGGAGGGGGTTGATGCATGGGACGTGTTTGCGAGAAGTACTGAAAGAGCAAAGATGGATATAAAGGAAAGGGTAGGATTGTTTATGATTTTCATGGAAGTAGGTTTTGATGAAGGAAAGTTTTTCTATCGAGTGATCAAATTCATATCAGGAAAGTGTTAAAAATCAATGGGTTTCTTAATTTAGTGATGAGGAATTAATGCTTGAGCTTTGGTTCTTCGACGGCAAATGAACTGCTGGCTTTGGAATTGATTGAAATGGATATATTGGAGAGAGAGAGTCGGAGAGAGGGAGGGAGAAAGGGGAGTTTCTTGCTTACACACTAGAGTCTAGGACACGAATCTGCTGTGGCCTTCTCTTTCATTTCATATGGAAAATAAGAAAGAAATAGGCGTTACAAAATACTATTTATTTATCATATAAAAATGAGAAGAAAAAAAACACAATTCCTTTGAAGCTTGAATGATAGCTTGGTTTGGAGAGATGAGACAAAGGGGATTAGTAGTAGTAGTTATGATATTAATCTTGTATTGCGACGACCAAAATGAAAAGTTAAAAGTCACGTTAGCAGAGCTTTTTTACAAGTGGGGCATAAATTGCTTTTTATATCAGAGCTTTTTTATAACATAATGATGAAAATATTACAATATACAGAGATTTTTAGTTTCTGGATCACAAATATTTGTAATTTTTAAGGGGGGAAACGACTTTTTTCTTTTTAATAGTTATTTTTGGTTTGAAACTGATATTCCATAAACCCAACAAAGGAAAAGCCAAAGACCCAAATTCAGGGCAAATGACGATACAAACAAAGCAGAGCTCAAACCAAGAGAAGGGCAAGATTGACCCAAATTACGTATATCTTCCAAATATATATATAAGTATTATGAAGGTTTATTTTTATTTTTATGTACCTTTCAAATTTCCTTTAATATTACAGGTGTCTTTCCTTTTTTTTTTGGGTGAAAACCAAGGTATCCCCGCGCGATTGCGGGGACTAACCCTCGAGGTACTGTCGGGCGCAAAGCGGGGACCTCTCCCAACAAAGTCTGCTCTATTCGCAAGCGCCTGGGATCGAACCCAGGACCTCTTGTTTAAAGGATCCAAGCCCCTTCCACTTGGACCAACTCCTGTTGGTGTCTTTCCTTTTGACCATAGTGCCCAAGGGAGCATTCCTCTCTTGGATTGAGAAGAACTGACAAGTCAAAGCTTTTGAATTCACTTCCTGTCAAATTGGGCAAATCCTGAGAGCTTTGCTCCTTGAGCTTATTCAATTTTTATTTTTATTTTTAGGAAAATATTTGAGTAAGAACTCCTATTTTCCTGCTAATCACAGTTTGACATGTGTGTTGAGATTCTTCTTTCTTGTTATCGATGAATCATTTTTGTATATGTATCAAACTTTCATTCGCAGGAAATATGAATGTCTCATTTTATGTAAGGCGGGAAGCAATATCCTTTTTATTATGGCTAGCTTAAAAAGAAAATGAAAAAAACATAAAGTCAATGGATTGAATTTGTGCATTTTTGTGTTCCTTGTTCTTGTTTTTTTTCTTCTTTTGTTGTTGACAATAAAATCTTTGGTTTCATGATAAGAGCAATGACGATGAATTTGAGGCACTGTAATTTGTAAGAGAGGGGTGGGTGTGGAGTGTGGACAGTGGAAGTGGAGCCGCCACCTTTGAAGTTTGATGATGAAAATTGAACAAACGTAACATATTTCCCGTGATCCTTTCTTTATTTATAGTTTTATGTCTAGGAATGGATATTTAACTAATTTTCTATTCTTTCTTAGCATTACATCCTTCTCCCTCCCTGTGGCCTGTATGATATAATAACTTAACCCAATTTGCAAATATTACACGCTATCGCATCCTTTATTTATACTGCACACGCATTTTGACCCATCAACTTTACTAGTACTAGTACTTGACTGTTTTTTCATTATTTTGTGTTTCTATTTCCTCCAAGCTATAGAAATGTTTGACTGTTTGGTTAACTGGTAAAAAAGAAGAGAAAAAAAGATCCATGATATATAGTAAAGAAAATTATGTTACTAATCTCGACGTGTTTATCGAATTGTATAAGATGATTTTAAACACTAATACAGTCATCAACAACAGTGACGTTCATGAAGAGAAAGAAGAAAACAAAAACCAAATTAATTATTGTGATTGAATATATGTTGATCTCAGCATTGCATATGCGTGATCTAATTTGTCGCAATTTGTGTTTCTAGAATCTGGCATTTAATTATACTTGAATCATTTGTGGCTTTTCAAACATTAGACCACGGGAACAATAGTGGTGATGCGAATTCGAAGAAATTTGATGGACACTCAACAACAGCTTGAGATATAGGAGTCAGACAACCCCACTCTCAGTGCGCACCTACTGCATATCTAGCTAGCAGGCAGCCCCATTTGATTGACTAAAACAAGTCTGATCAAAATAGGGAACTTGGCAAACTTGAAAAAACATAAGAAAATAAACAAACCTATCAAATTTGATTTACTGGATGGATAATAAGAGCAGAAGAAATTGTTGGCGTAAGTGGCTCGATACAATCCATGATATGTAAGTCCCACATCAAAGAAACAAATGAGGTGTTGATGTTAGATATAGAGAAGAGATAAATAGGGTAGGGTTGAATCTCTCCTTCCTTGGAGTGTGCTGGCCTTGAAGTTTTAGCCAGGAGAGTGGATAGTGTGGGTCAATAACTTAAAATACTGGAAATGAAGAGAGCACTAAGATTAGAAAAATATGAGAAAGTTGAAGCTAGTGAGGAAGTAGTTTAAAGTAGCAAAATAAACATAAAGCGTGATTCTTGCAATTAATTTAGGTTAGGGTAATTAGCACAGCAACTTGGCACGTTCCTCCTAATTAGATAACACAAACACAAAGTCAATATGGATTCCACCAACTAATTTATTTAACTAAGTTAAATACAAGAATCTAAAGGGCGCTAGTTTTGGTTCTACTCTCCCCACCACCACCACCACGGGTCTCTCTTTCTGTTAACTTTCGTTGTTTTGTTATTGGGAGTATGTTGTTATTATTATTATTCTTCCTACTGTAAGTGATTGATTCAAGCAGAAAGGATAGAATGAGTGGTTATAGTGCGAGGTTATAATGAAGGGGTCATTAATAATCGTCCACTACAGTGCAGAGTTATTATTGAATTCAACCCCTCATCATAGACTCTAAAAAAAGACTAAGGTGGCGTTTGGGATTGCTGCGCTTAATAAATAAGCAGCTTATAAAAAAAGTTATGGAAACAAAAGCGTTTGGTAAAACAATTGAAGGCTGCTTATTTTAAAAACTACGGTGATCCACAGCAGAATCTCGAAGCAGCGTGTTGGCTGCTTCTTAAAACTGCTTTTAAAAAAAACAGCCGGTTCTTTTAAATGAATTTTCACGTTTCCCATAATACCCCTAATAATTTTCTAAATTGACAACTTTTATCCCTCTTGCAACTCGATTCTTCTTCTTCTCTCTTGCAACTCGACTTCTATAAGCAACTCGATTCATACCAAGAAAAAACCCAGCCCCTAGCTTTCTACGCTGTTATCTCCACTCCATCCACAAAAATCCAAAGCACAGCTTAAAAAAAAACTCAATCCTAGCTCCCCAGTTTGTGATCTCCACGCCAACCACAAAAGATCCAAACCCCAAATATATCTTCAAACATCTGTATGCGAATTGTGGAGGACCAAAATCGATAGCAACACAGGCATCTACCCTCCTTGATCAACGATTTTCACAAAAAATAGATTCTTGAATCCATCAACAATTCGTTGACCTTCTCTTGGAAACCAAAATCAAGGGAAAGTTGAAACTCATATCAAAACCACAGGAAAACAAAATTTTCATTTGTATTTGATTTCCTTCTTGTTGTTTTCTTTGATGACAACACAGTTTTTATTTGGGTTTGGGTTGAGTTTTTGGTTTTAAAATTCTCAATCTGGTTTTTTTCTCTTGGTGTTTTGGGGAGAGAGAGAGAGAGAGAGATGCAGGTGGGTACGGTGTGGGATGGGGTTATTTTAGGTTACTTTCTTAATTTATTATTTTTATATTTGTATATTTTTGGTCACAATATTTGGAATTGGTACTAATTTTGTTACTTTAAAAATTTAGAATTTGTGGCAAAATAAGTAACAATTTCATCATGATGTCCTTTTTGGTCATTATACACACTAAAAGCACTTTTAATAAAAATTTACCAAACACTTTGACTCTTCACAGCACTTTTTCTAATACAATTTACCAAACGCCTAGTTGTTTTTTTTCACAGCTGTTTATTCTCACAGCACAACCTAAGCAGTTTTAAAAAAAAGCACAGAAATACCAAACTAGCCCTAAGCCCAAGAACAACACTTATTGCGGCGCTTTATAATAGCGCAACTCAGTCTTAAGACCTTGGGGCCCGAATCCCAAGCTCCATTGGGGTGAAACAAGCTTCATATTTTTGAAGGCTTGGCAGAATGCTAAAACGTAAAACCCCATGAGACGAATCACAAGAAAATGCTTTAAAAGAACTCATTAAATCGGAATGTGGAACATCTTTTGTAACAGATAAATTTACACAGCAGCAGAGATAATCAAGCAGACAGAGATTAATAATACGAAACGAATAACATGTACAAACTAGAAATGAAGCATCAAAGTATTAGACAATGACTGAAGAAAATACAAGGAAAACCCCAACTTAAGGAGCAGCAAAGGCATCATCGACCCACTTGTTCTCATGGACAGGGGGGGAGAAGGGAGAGCTGATCAGCAGGGCTTGCAGCGCGGCTCGCACTCTATTGATACGCTTGCGCTGTCTGATACGCCGCAAAACCACATCTTTGTCTAAGGGTTGGGAGGTGTGGGTGGGTTTTATATGCACATGGCTGCTCACGTAGTTACTAATACTATGGCCATGGTGGGTTGCTGCTGGGTCTTCTTGCTCTTCCTTCAAACTGATGCTTGCGATGCTCAAACCTTCTTCAGGTGCAGAGGATTTGAAGGAAGAGGAGGTCCAGGAGGACATTGTTTGGATTTGGAGTAGTAACTTTTAGCAAAGTGATGATGAGAGAGAAGAAGCTAAGAATGGAAAGGAACAACTAACTAGCTCAAGAGGTGAGTGAGTGAGTGAGTGATTGAGAGAGAGTATTTATAATTATAAATTGGAGGGAAAGATGTGGATTTTGGAGCAAGTGTAAAAGTTTGGTCGGTGAATTGATATATTCGAGACTGCATCGATCAGAGTTTCGGACAGACACCCACAGAGACAGCAAAATCTATGGCTTCTTCTTCTCTAACAAGGTCGGTGAACTGCCTTTTTCAGTATAAATATATAGAGGACATGCATGCTCTGTTCTGCTGCTGCAACATTACTCTCCCTATACTGAACTGATCTAGTAAAACACATTATTTAAAGCATGAGGGAATAGTAACAGAGCGTACATATCATATCATCTTTGAGTTTTTAATGGGACACGGCAGCTAGTAGCT